CGAGCCCGTCACCGAGCTGGCAGTGACAGAGCACATGTTAGTCCCAGCTCGCAGATGCCACGGAGACGGGGGGTGTAGTGGGGGAGCCAAATATAAAAAGCCAGGGATGAGAGGCGCGGAGCCTGGATTATGCCGCCGCGGCAACGCCGAGGGGGGGTGGGGGTTCAGGGGCAGGAGCTGGAGAGACTCATCTTCAAACACAGCCGAGCTGGGGCTCCAGGACCGCACAGAGAGGGGCACAGCCCGAGGCCCCGGTTTAGCAAAGGCCCAACATCTTCAAAGTGAGGAGACAGAACTGCGGGGCATGGCAGCTGGGACGGCACATCTGATCCTCTCAGCTTTCAGAAGGCCCACTTCTCAAGCTCTCCGCCACGACAACGACAACAACAACAACAACAACAACAACCACCACAGGAAAAAAAAAAGAATTCTTCAAGTTGCCATTATATCCCGTTATATATTCCATGGGTATTGCTTGCGCTGTCTGCAGTGGCAAGTCTCTCCCGGGACCCCGAAGTGTGCCAAAAGCAACAGCATAAATAACATTCCCGCTCTTCAAATGAATGCTAATTTTTTTTCTCTCTCTCCAAACTTTGTTCACATATTGATGCGCTCCGCAAATCAACTTCAATGGCGTGAGCGATATAGCTGAGAAAGGGAACCCCGATTATTTTTTCAACAGTATTCAAATGCCGCTTTCATTAGCCCGGCATTAATTAGACTCCTTGTGCTAATTTGCAAGTCGATAGCAGTGGCTGCAGGACAGGCAGCTTTGAATTGCACCCCTGTGATCTTGGGGTCTTGCAGCCTCACTACCCTTAGACTGAGTATGCAAGCCTTCCTGACAATTAGTACAAAAGGGATTAATGTTCCACTTCACAGATACATTATTCATATTTCTCCCTACTTAAATAAATCATAACATTCTAGAGGGTCTCACTTTAACCACCCCACCCCAACCTCCCGTCTCCAAATAAGATGCGGTTCAAAATGACCTTGGCATCATTTCTGGTCCATTTCCTAAAAAAAAAAAAAAAAAAAAACCTTGTCTGGAATTAGCTGAAAAGATTTGGAGGCAGTCGCCAAATGCTTTTCCCTTTTCAAATTAACGGTCTTGGAACGTTCCAGAGGTGGTCAAAGAGACACCATTTCCTTACATTAGGGTTAGTGGAATTCTGCTCCTTCAAATTCTTGACTGTCCAGGAGCAATATTTTTGCTGACGACTTAAAGCCCACTGACGACAATGGAGAGTCACCTTCACCAACAGGAACCTCATTCATCCTGGGCTTTTTCAGAGACACAACTGACACTGACACAACTGACCTATCCCACATAATAATAATCATTGATTTGCTTTTATGTAGCTCTTTTCAAGGATCTCAAAGCATGTTAAAATGCCTCAAGCACCACCAACGGTACCTCCATCAAAGTTTAACACTCACCTTGGTGTTGCATGGCAGTCATTTTGCACCAGGAAGGAATGGCATCTATGGCAAAAGTAAAAAATACAGCAGAATTTCTAAATATAACATTCAACACAAATTTCGCATGCTGTTTTTGGTGTTGTGGATGGATGTTTTCACTCCAGACAGCCACAGACACTTACACTGTGCCCTCTGACCAGTGGGCACAGTGCAAAGAAAGTACACCGTGTTATTGTTATGCTGAATTTCACACTGAATGCCACAGGAAACTCTCTAAACTCAAGCTTTTGTTTCTACAGTACAGCATGCAACCTTATACACCTTTGGCAAGTGGAGACAAGACACTCGTGACACATGAATTGATGTGAGAGAAAACTCCCAATGGAGACAACTCCCATAGGCCTGGTGTGAAACACTAACATTACACATGCTTGTACTGTCACATGCATTAGCATTTCCTCTTTTAATTGCTATCTAAGAAGCAGACGTCCTTATTCTGAACAAGTGAACAAAGTAATTATTTTACATTTTATGAATTCTGTCACCAAGATACACTACCTGAGTTCTGTGTTTCCCACAATAGCATTATGTTTCAAGAATCACAGTGATGATTCAGTTTCTGCACAGCTTAACATTATTGAATGTGCTGCTTGTAACTCAGATAGTGTCTACCAAATTAAAACATAGGCTGTCTAGTCAGGTTGCACAAATTAACTTGTGGTAGGGCTCAAATAGCATTGTGCTCGCACTCACTGGTGTGGGAGTGTTCTTAGCCTGGTCCAACACTGTTTATCAGTCAACTTGAATGGATACACTTCTGTTCTTTTGCACTGGAAGTTGCACTGGACAAGAGTGTCTGCTAAATGAATGTAATGTAGTGAAATGCAAATAATTTCACTGGGATGATTGGGGTACCAACCCCAGGGTCTGCAGTCCAGCGTCTGACCCCCTACACTACACACCACACCATAACCTAGCCGCCCATCTTTCACATTAAAGTATGTGATGCAAATCAGAAATATCTGAATAATAAATTCAACTGGAATGGGATGAAGGAAGTGACCACGCCCCCAGCTTCCTCCTTTAACTAGTCTCTACTGACAGCTACAGACACCTAGGCTGCAGAGGGTAGAGCAGGAGAAGGCGGATGACAGCAATCTCACAGTTAAGCTGAACGTGGGCAGGAAGGTTCAGCGGCAACTTTCTTTTTTTTTTTTTTTTTTACTCACTTTCCTCACTTTAAAGGTTCAAGTGTGGGGTCAAACTCACCGCTTCTTCAAAAATTGCAACTGCAGCTAAATGTTTGTGTTTCAGCTCTGAAAGGTCAGGCTTTAGGGAAAAAAACGCCCAAGATCCGAAGAGATCTATGGACTTTAGTGTGTGAGTTTCTGTCACTGGAGACACGGTGCTGTAACAGGTAAAGCAATTAGCCCAGTGTGAATGCGTTTATCTGTGACAAAGGCCAAAGAGGGAGAGAAGCCCGCAGACAAGCTTCCTTTTTATGGAGGCTATTAGGCAACTTCACAGCGCTCCTTTTGAGCAGCAAAAAGGGGAAAATGAACCTCCATTTTTCTATCCAATTAGGGAGAGGGGGGTTCTCTTTTTTCCCGCCGTTTATTACTCTTTTACAGCGTTCTGCATGCAGCGATCAGTTTCCGTAACTAGGCTGCAAATAAAGGAAAAAAAAGGCGCAATGGCTCCATTTGCTGTGATTTGTGTGCGACGGTTGACCACCTCTGCATCTGGGGCCGGGGCCACGGACGCCATGATTAAGGGGCTCGGAGCGGGGGCACCCCTGCTGTTTTATCAAGTCTGCCGAATCCGTAATGAAATAAGGAGCTCTGACAGTGACGGGGGCTTTTCGGGGGTGGGGGCAAAAACAGACCATCTTAGCCCGATCATTTAAGCAAGGGCCAATTATGGATCAGGTCTAATAGGAGGAAACAGCATGCCTTTAACCAAAAAAAAAAAGGAAACAGAGGAAAGCGAACACAAATCAATGAGATTGTTGATGGTAATGGGTTTGACAGAAAGGCCTGTCAGAGAATATGGCCACGGCCGAGGATCATTATACACCTCTATACCCGATACATTAGCGCTGAGGGAAAAAAAAAGAGGAGTCAAGGAAAAACAAAGAACAGTGGGGAGGCTGGGAGGGAGTACTGTACCATCTGTATCACGGGCGATGGCTGCTCATTTGCAGGCAGATGGCGACACGGCAACTCAATTTTAAGAACATATTCCCCGCTTAATGTGCGGTGCTTAGTTTAAGTAGCCTGACCTCAGCATTGTTCAGGTCACGGTATTTAAGTAAAAGCATGTTTTGGCACCATTCCGCATGCGGGCTCGGCTGTTCGCAACATAACGTTGATTATTTTCTGCCAGCCATCAAACGTTTGGCGAGATTTTCACCCACCCTCACCGGTGATGTGATCTGTGGCAATTTCGGGACACGGAGAACTCAGTAAGCTACTGATTCTCCTTTATTTTATTCTGAGCCGCTGGGTAGCCGTCCTCACAATGAAACACAATAACAAAAGCCCCGAGCAGACTGGCCAAAAGGAACAGCGCTCTTCGGCGAACCAGATTAACACAGGTTTTGGAATTTGGCTCCTTTTTTTTTCCCCGGCTGTGTATTAAAACTGTATAAATAACCATCTGTAGTGGCTGGGATCTAATGACGGCGGGGGCCTCGTTCAAATCCCTGCCGCTGGGAGCGAGGGGCCTCTGCCTCAGCCTGCGAGCTCCCCGCGCTGTGCCCCGCGCTCTCCCAGCGCCCGTGTTAGCCATCTGCCGCGGCCGCCACGCCCGCGCACCGACTCTGACTCCGAGTCCGACCCCAACTCCAGCCATCGGCCGGTGCGACCAGCCCGATTTTCCACCGGAACGTCTCGCATTTCCCAGCACTGCAGCCCTGTCCACGGGGAAACCCGGACATACGCGCAGCACGGAATGTGTAAATAAAATAATCACTGTCCAACCACAATGACAGCGGCCCTCTCTGTGGCACCAAAGATGAATTTGGCGGGTTGTGCATCGGACGCGACGACAGGGGAAGTGATGTCACGTCAGCGTGAGGGCGTGCAGGGTCTCCTAGGGTGGAGCGGCTTGGAGAAGGAGGGGTACGCCCCCGTGGAGAAAGTTGGCCACAGGCCTGAGAGAGGCTGCTGTCCAGGAACAGCCACTTAAAATGAACCCTGGGCTGCTCTGTGGGAAGCACTCTGAGTTAAATCCTAAATTAAGAATTTAGAAACATGAACACAAACACAAATTAGCTCTGTGGAGAGCGTTTTGGTTTGATTAAGCAGGTCTGCACCCCTGGAAAGCCACAGAGTGCCTCTAGCCATGCAGGGGTATGGGAAGTGATTTTGAAAGGTACCTTCAGGCACACAGGACGCAGCTCTGAAGAGGAAAGCTCTTGGAGTTGGGTTGAAATTACATTACATTGCAGTCATTTATCAGATGCACTTATCCAGAGCGACTTACACAGGTTACAGTTTTATCCATTTATACAGCTGGATATTTACTGAGGCATTTCTGGGTTAAGTACCTTGCCCAAGGGTACAACAGCAGTGCCCCAGTGGGGAATTTGAACCAGAAACCTTTGGGTTATGAGTCCTGCTCCTTACCACTATGCCACACTGGGCCAACTGGGTTGAAGTTGTGGGGAGGGTGGAGGTAGCACCTCTCCTGAGGGTGCCCACTCTGAAACTCGAACCTGGAAATGCTGAGAGTGGCCTGGGTATCACCCCGGCCCGCCGTGACACCCCCTCCACACCCTCTCCCCAGGCCCGCCACAGAGACACACACAGAGCACCCAAAGAGCTCCACCCTGGTCCCCTTCTCATATATCAGTGACAGAGCGGGCTGACAGAGTGCTTATTCATGCTTACTCATTGCTATTCAATTTGCTGCTACTTCTTGGGAGCAAAAAACATATACATACACACACACGTATACATGCACACACACACACACACATGAAAGCTGGGAGCTCTCCCCTGCCCCCCCATTGATCTGGATCATTTTTCAAGCAGCACTTCCCGGTCGGAGGGGCCCGGTCTCCCGGTGAGACTCCTGCTCCGTGTGCCGGCGTTTGCCAATGCGTGAAACGCTGATTTATGAATATGAAAGAGCTGGCCCGCGCCGGCGAGGGGAAGGGGAGGGGGCCGGGGCGGCCACCAGAGGCAGGGAGAGAGGGGCGGCTCCCAGCGCCTGAGCCACTACCGCCCGAGCACAGCCTGCCTGCTCTGGCTCTAATTTCATGCACACATTTCATTAGAGGTGTTGGCCAGGAGACGCTTTTTTTTTTCTTCCTCGACACTTTTAGCAACTAGACACAATCTTGCATCGTTTGCTTGGGGAAGAAAAAAAAAATCGCATTTGTCCTTTGTCAGCACAAACATTTTAATTTGACGGTTTCACTCCTGAGTAAGCAGCAGATACCTCTTAAACTCCAGAGAGATACAGGAAATGACTGTGTTCTGTGTTCTTCCCTTTCCTACACCCCCAACACGCACACACACACACGGCCTCATCGGCAGCCGAGTTAATACAACATTTTTAATACATTATTAAAATCACACTCAGGCAAATGGAGGGGAAAAAATTACATTTACATGACACCAACAAAAGCGGCAGACTACCCTACCGTAAGGCCTTTTGTAACTGCATCCATTTTAATAATTCAAAAGCAGACCACGCTGCAGTCACCCAAGAGTATTCATCTGCTCAAAAAGGCATTCAGACGCACTGTTAATTCATTCAAACACACTGTTATTCCAATGCACTGCTTTGTAAAAAAAAATTAATAACAATGCCAGCCTCGCACAAACAGTGTGTTTTTCCTAAGACACATCTTTTAAAGACGATGAGGTGTATTTAAGTTTTGTGCAAACAAATTAAGTGTCCGTTGGTGCTTGATGGGGACTGAGGTCAAGTACATCATATCACCTGTCTTTTAAAAATGATGAGGTGTATTTGAGTTTTGTGTAAACAAAGTGCCCATTTCCCCCTGATGGGGACTGAGGTGGTGCCAAGTGAAAAATCTACTGTTAATCATCCATGCCTCACAAATACCCCAAAGTGTCTGTCTGCCTTTGTCCAAAGCTGGCCAGCTCAGAACTGGCAACATGACTGCAGTTCCGGCTGGTGGTTTTCCATTAAGAGAGCCTGAGTCTCTGTCAAGTCTACCCCTAATAACCACACTAAAGCACACCAAGACACTAAAACATGCACTGTTATCCTGTCAGAAGCATGTTGTGAAACCACCCTGAATAAAAGGACCCTGCTTTAAACTGTTTATTTCAGTGTGCATGCATCCGTGATTACAGCACGGCGAATGCCCAGTCCATTGCAGCATGTAAATGTCTATTTATTGTGCTTATGTCCATGATCACATCATATAACAAAACCCTGTGCTGGTTTCCATGATGACGACATGCAGGCAGTTTGCTTTGACTGTGGTTCTGCCCATGATTACGCCATGTAAAATTCTGCGCTGTGGTTTCCACGCTAACATACGGCGCTACCCGTAATCACAGTGGGTAAAACACACGCTGCCTGTGTTCCTGTCCACGGCTGGAACCGCCAGGCCCAGTACTCATACTGCATGAGACACTCCGCGGAGCGTGGAAGACTTCCTGTGCACCTCGTAAGCCGCGGTCACACAACGCTGCTCTGACAAGGCCTCTGACGCCTGGCGCTGTCATCAGGCAGAGTTAAAAAGGTGCCGCGGCGTCAATCAGCGCGCTCTTCAACCGGGGCTCCTCGGCTAATAACGGCCTCTGTTTTATTCATACGTGGTTAGAAACAGATTCGGGAGTTGGGGCGCGCGGGGGTTTATTGGGGGGCTGACAAAAGGATAATCCTCCAAGATCAGTGTATCTTGATGTCTTCCAAACACCGGCGCCGTGTACCGCATCCGCGCGGCAAGCGGCGCGTGACGTCCTGCTCCTCGTACCGGCGCAGTCAATGAAGTGCGCTGGAATTACCATTAAATGCGCTTTCCCCCCCTCTTCGCAGGCGTTTTAGTCTGAGTCGACAATTAAATTCCAAAAGGTATCCCCGATGAATAATGAGAACGTGCTCAGTTCAACCGATCTTGTCATCCTATGCAAAAATGTCTAATTATCTAATTTAAGGCTCGAGATCAGCTACCTTCCAGGTGCCCATGAGCGGTGAATAGGGTAATTCCTTGTGGCTGCCGAGGATTGTGGGGGATGGGGGGTACAGAAGTCACCGCGCGGAGGTGCTGAGCAGTATTAAATGGAAGCTTCTGTTCTCCATAATTGCACAGCTGTCCTGACAAATCTGTCAGTGTTTGTGGCTGTAATTGCTTTCCCTTCATCAATATACATAGCCTGTTACTTCAGTTTGTAAAAGGAAGCACAGGTGAACGAACATTACACGTTCGGTACAATGTTATAATGAACGGCATGGCTACGAGCATTCATTACCCAAACAGGTGCACGGGTGTGCTTCGTCTGATGTTAATTATGCATTATCTGTGTGTTACATCATTGAGATGAAAAATAAGTAGAGTCAAAAGCAAACTATATACGGGCCGTTTACTGTAAATGCATTAAGTTGACAACCGAAATATGCATTTTCTTTAAAAAAATCGCTCCTCAGGTATAGGACTGTTCTTTGGCGAAATGTTATTAAAGCCAGAGCGAGATCAGGGCTTAAATAAGAATGCAATTAATAATCTGACATCGGAAGGCATGCCCTAACATTTCACGCTGAGCAGAGGTGTAATTGCGCGACAGCAGCATCTAGTGGTAATAAACCGGCATTGCAGCCTTTCAGACCACTTCTGACACATGGCTTAAAGTGAACCCCGAGGCACGAGTGCACGTCAGGGCTCACCCATCAGTCACGCTTCTGTTATACGTACAATACGTATTTGCTTTTTTTCTGTCCTGTCAATTTGTTAAAATTGTTCTTCCTACGTTTATGTGCCTGACACAAAATATGTTACATTAGTCTCAGCTGGTTCTATGAGTAAAAAAATTTCAGAAAAGACATTTGGTTGGACGGACCAAGTATTTTGAAATATGACATTTCAGGGTCACTGACTTGGTCTTTGCTTCATGCATCCAAACAAACACTTCCCTGGAGTTCATTCACTATGACTGATTGTATTTTTACCTTGAAAACTTTATTTGAAATTTCACCCACACAGACAAAATTCAGACAACTTCCCCAAGTGGCCACAAGAGAAGACTTCTTCTTTCTCTGTTTAATGTGGATCTGAGACCTGCAAATGCTCCTTTGCCTATCTACTGTTGAAAAGCGTTTTAAGCATTACATACATTTACATTTAGTTGATTAGCAGAAGCTTTCATCCAACACGGCTTACAATTCTGTGTTTTTACATGTTATCCATTCATACAGCGTGACATTTACTGAGGCATTTCTGGGTTAAGTAAGGGTTAAACACCCTTGCCCAAGGGTACAACAGCACCACCCAAGTGTAAAATCGAACTGGAAACATTTTTGTCAGGAGCCCTGGCTCAGCAACAAATGTCACTAAAGGAATTAAGAAGTTATGACAGCTGTAAGTGTGCGGTGACTGTGCACTTTGATTGACGGGGTGTGAACCATGTGTGCCCACGGCCACATATAGCTGAAGTGTCAGCAGTCACGAGGACAGCCGCTGTAAGATGGAGACTGAGGGAGACCTCATCCTCCAGAACAATTCAGCTCCGACGCAGCACTGATATCTGCTGGGTGTAGTTCATGGTGATTGGTATACCATCCATCGCATGTAAAAATCCATTGTAGATATCACTTGATAACACTGATTCCTTGTGGAAAAAAATAGTAGTAATACGAAAAAGCGCAGGAAATTTTTTTTTGATGTTTACGCAAGTACTGCAACACCACACAAACACCGAAAGATGAGAAAAGTCCGCCTTACCGACAGTAGGAATTGTGCAGGCGTGCTGAACTCCGGCATTTGGTTCAACAAGTTCAACTGAAACGTGATTTTCACGCAAAACTGAAGAACAATATCCGGAACCCAATTTGTAGCATGGTGAAGAGCCAACAGGGTTAGGATCACGGTAACATTACCTTGTAAACAAACCTCTCTGTTTTTCTAGCTGAAAAAAATGTTGCTGATTGGCTTGGTAAACTCTGCATCACAGTAGTTACTCTTGAAAAAGGAAAGAAAATAAAAATAATCTTAGATAAAGGCGACTATCAAAAACGGTCAGCAAAAGTCAAATGGTTAATATATATAAAAAAAACAGTCTACACGCAACTACAAATCTATTTTACTGATACTCAGTCGTTTACCTATACAACTGCACTCTGTCAGAGCTAAATTAGTTAGCTCCTGCTCATGTAGCTAAAGGCAGCAACAACACGTTGTGTGGGTGGCTAACTCGCTTTTAAGGCGAGTAATTCAAATCATGGCTGTTCAACAGGCCATTCTTATATTCTGACAATGCCCTTAGAAATGAACATTTCCTTTTGATGCCAGTAACTTCTGAAAAGGTTTTACACCACCCAATACGTTTTTGAATGTGTTGTTATACTCGAAATTCGAACCTCTATAATGTGATTGAAAGATTTGCAGTAATGCTGCCATCGTTTTTGTATTCCAACGCCGTTTAAGGGAGGGCAGAACAGATTAAT